GCTTCCTGTTGGGTCATTCACATCCTGTTTTGTGTGCATAAAATTGTGAAAAACACTGATGGAGATCTTTGAGGGAAAATCGTTGCTTGCATACTTAATTATTTCTCCAAGATAAATACCTGAAAGCATAATAGCTGCCTCAAAGGGTATAAACATTTGTATTTCATTTCATGAGCAAATACTTGTTCAGCTTCTTCCAAATGCCGTTTTGTTTTTTTGGTTTTTTTTATAATGTTGTCCAAGAATCTTCCAGAAATTGGAATCTGGTTGCTTCCCCACCAAGGGTAATAGAATGACTTGATAAGTATTCATTAGCATAGATCTGTTGAGATGAATTGATAGGATGGCTGGAGCTGTGGGTTCAAGCCTTGGAGATGGTGAAGATGGCACAGGATAAAGCAGGTTTCACAAACTGTTGCTTTATAGGGTCACTTAGGAGTTGCATTCAGCCCAGGGGCACATCCCAGCAACAACAATCCGTAACATTTTTGTTGAGATCCTTTCAGCTCCTCAAATCTTGTGAAAACAGAGATTCTGAGGTAGAAATGCAGATAAATAGCAGGAGATCAAACCTGAAAGAAGCAGTTTGAAACCTTGTTTGTTTAGCACTTTAGCAAACTGAGCCAGACCCCCACTGCCTTGCAATTAGTCCCAACCTGGCGACCCTCTGGTGGGCTTCCCAAGCTGGAAATCTTTGTAGGAGAACACTTGTCCAGCTTTCTCCTGAGGAGCCACTAGTGTTTTCTAACTGCCAACCTCTCATTTAGCAGTGCCAAACATTGTGTACTACGCCACCAGAGCTGTCATTGTTGTTATGAGGTGCCATCGACTTGACTGGTCCTTATGCTATTCTTGCTGTGTGCTGTCGTGTTGCCTGCAACTCATAGAGACCCTATATGTACAACAGCCCTAATCCCTGCTCTATCCTGTGCCAATATTATTGTCTCTGACGCACCTACCCCCATTACCTCAGTCACTGAATCAATCCGTCTCATCGAGGGTCTTCCTCTCCTGTGCTGTCCCTCCACACTCCCAAGCATGATGTCCCTCTCTAAGGATTGTTCCCACCTTCCAACGTGTCCAATGTCAGATGAAGCTAAGGAATCCTGGCCTCCTATGAACAGCCAGGTCTCACTCTCTCTAGGGCAAACTTGTTTGTTCTCCCTAGCAGTTCATAATATATTCAAAACTCTTCTCCAACACCACAGCTCAAAGGTATCAGTTCTCCTTCTATCATCCCTAGTCACTGTTCAGCTTTCCAATGCATAGCAAGTAATGGCAAAGATCATGGCCTGTATCAGGCAGACCTTAGTCTCCAGACTGACATCGTTGCTCTTCAATACTTTGGAGAGGTCTCTGACAGCAGATTTTCCCAGTGCAATTTGTCTTTAAATTTCCTGGCTGCTGATACCAAAGATGTTGATTGTGGAGCCAAGTAAACTAAAGCTGTTAACAATCTCAGCCTTTTCACCATCTATCAAATACATTTTTTAAGAGACATAAACGCAGATTATATACCTGGATTTCACCTGATGGTATGCATAGGAATCAGATC